CAACAGTGAAGACAGAAGTTACCAAAACCTGTGGGATACAGCAAAAGCAGTCCTGAGAGGAAAATTATTGAACTAGATGTCTACATTCAAAAAACAGAAAGTGAGTACATCAGCATACTTACAAACCATCTTATGGAATTGGAAAAAGGAGAACAATCTAACCCTAAACCTAGAAGAAGAAAAGAAATAACCTAAATTAAATCAGAGATTAATGAGATTGAAAACAAAAACATCATTCAGAAAATTAATGAAAATTAATGAAACAAAAAGTAAATAAAATAGACAAATTATTGGTCAGATTAACCAGAAAAGAAAAGTAAAATCTCTAATAACCTCAATCAGAAATAATAAAGGGGAAATAACAACAGATGCCACAGAGATACACGAGATCATCTCTGAATACTATAAGAAACTCCATGCCCCCAAATTTGTAAATGTGGAGGAAATAGATCAATACTTGGAGTCATGCCCTCTTCCTAGACTTAATCAAGAAGAAACAGATCTCCTGAACAGACCAATTTCAAGCACTGAGATCAAAGAAACAATAAAAAAAATCTCCCAACAAAAAAATGCCCTGGTCCAGAAGGCTTCACAGCAGAATTCTATCAAACCTTCAAAAGAAGAGCTTATACTCACACTACAGAAACTATTTCAAAAAATTGAGAAAGAAGGAATCTTCCTCAACATGTTCTATGAAGCAAACATTGTCTGATATCAAAACCAGGAAACAAGCCAACTAAAAAGGAGAACTACAGTCGGGCCACCTATGCCTATATTCTTACAGAATATAGATGCAAAAATTATCAACAAAATCCTAGCCAATAAATACAGCTTATTAAAAAAGTCATACACCATGATCAAGTAGGTTTCATCCCAGGGATGCAAGGCTGGTTTAACATATGTAAGTCCATACATGTAATTCACCATATCAACAGAAGCAAAAACAAAGATCATATGATCCTCTCAATAGATGCAGAAATAGCATTTGATAAAATTCAACATTCCTTTCTAATTCGAACTCTGAAGAATATAGGCATAGGTGGCACATTTCTTAAACTGATCAAGGCCACCTATGACAAGCCCACATCTAATATTACACTGACTAGAGTAAAACTGAAAGTTTTTCCACTCAGAATTGGAACAAGACAAGGTTGTCCTCTATTGCACCTACTATTCAACATAGTGCTGGGAGTTCTAGTCAGTACAATCAGGCAAGTGAAAGTAATACCCTCAATGATTCCCCAACAACAAGAAAAAAAGAAATTTAGAAAACAGTATCATTTACAATAATATCAAAAATATGACATCCTTCAGGATAAATCTGACAAAAGATGTGAAATATCTATATACTGATTCCTACACTGCTGAGAAAACTCAAGATAGACCTAAATAAATGGAGAAATACTATTTTCCTAAGTTGGAAAACTCAAAATTGCTAAGATGTCATTTCCCCCAAATTAATCTATAGATTCAATGAAACATCAATAAAAATAATAGCAGCCTTTTCTGAATAGAAATTGACAGATTCATTCTAAAATTGATATGGTATCGCAAAGAACCTAGAATAGACAAACACTTGAAAAAGAATTGGCTCGGTGTCTGTACCTCAGTGAATAGGGTGCCAGCCACATACACTGAGGCTGGCAGGTTTGAGCCCGGCCTGGGCCTGCTAAACAATGACAACAGCAACCAAAAAATAGTTGGGCACTGTGGCGGGTGCCTGTAGTCCCAGCTACTCAGGAGGCTGAGCCAAGAGAATCGCTTAAGCCCAAGAGTTTGAGGTTGCTGTGAGCTGTGACACCAGAGCACTCTACTGAGGGGAGCCTAGTGAGACTGTCTCACAAATAAAAAAAAACAAAATTGAAGGATTAATACAACCTGAAGATAACCTAGTTGACTTATTATGCAACTGAGACAGTTTAGTATTGATGGAAAGACAGACAACAGATCAATGAAATAGAATAGGTAGTCTAGGAATAGACATATAATAATATGGACAACTGATTTTTTTGACAAAGACGTAAAGGCAATTTGAGAGAAGATACTTTTTTTTCAACACATGGGAACAATTGGATACCAAGTTCAAAAATATGAATGGGGATCCTACTTTGAACCTTATGTAAAAATAAATTCTAATAAATGATAGTCCTAAATATAAACCTAAAATGATAAAAGTTGTAGAAGAAAACAGGAGAAAATCATTGTTACTCTAGGCAAAGATTGATTGAAATCTGATTGAATTTCATCAGAATTAAAAGCTTCTGATTTATATTATTTTATTTTTTGAGATAGAGTCTCACTAGGTCTCCCTCAGTAGAGTGCCATGGTGTCACAGCTCACAGCAATCTAAAACTCTTGGGTGTAAGTGATTCTCTTGCCTTAGCCTCCCAAGTAGCTGGGACTACAGGTTCCTGCCACAATGCCTGGCTATTTTTCATTGCAGTTGTCATTCTTGTTTAGCTGGCCCGGGCTAGGTTTGAACCTGCCAGCCTTGGTGTATGTGGCTGGTGTCATAACCACTGTACTATGGGTGCTGAGCCAAAAGCTTCTGATTTTTATAAAATGATGCTAACAGAATGAAAAGATAAGCCACAGTCCAGCAAAAATATTTACAAAAATATGTTTGATAAATATTTTAGCTAAATGACATTAAAAACACTCTCAAATCTCAGTAAGAATGTCAATTACTAATAAAAAAAGGGCAAGATTTGAAAAGACACTTCACCAAAGAGTATGGATGACAAATAGCAAATGAAAAAGTGCTCATTACCATTAATTATTATGGATATGCAAATTAAAACTATAAGGATAAAACACAACCTGTGTGTACATGTTACATATATATACATCTATACTACATGTTAGCATGGCTAAAATTAAAAGGCTGATCATATTAAGTGTTGACATGGATATGGAGGAACTAGAATTCTCATACAGAACTGATGAAAATGTAAAATGTTACAAACAATTTTTGGAATTTCTCAAAAAGTTAAATATACACCTACCATATGATTCTGCCACTCTACTCTTAGGTCCACCAAATGAATGTCTATGTCATACTCAAACTTGTACACCAATATTCATAGTAGCTTTATATGTAATAGCCAACAACTAGAAACAAGTTAAATGTCTATAAGAGGTGAACTGATAAACAAAGGATGGTATATACATACGATGGACTATTACTCAGAAGCAAGAGAGGAATGAAGTGCTGACACATGTTACAAAAAGGATGAAATTATGCTCAAAGAAGCCAGACAACAATAAATACATATAATTCCCCTTATACAGAATTCTTAGAACACAAACTAATATATAGGAGCAGAAAGAAGACCAGTAATAGTCGGGGGATTGGCTGGGGAAGGGAGGGATACTAAAAAGTACAAACTTTTGGGGATCACAGACACATTCATTATCTTGTTTGTGGTCATGGTGTCACAGTTGTCAAACTTGTCAACCTGTACACTTTGATTTTTAGAGGCAGAGTCTAACTTTATTTCCTTCAGTAGACTGCTGTGACATCACAGCTCACAGTAACCTCCAACTCCTGGGCTTAGGCGATTCTCTTGCCTCAGCCTCAGGCGCCCACCACAATGTCCAGCTATTTTTTGTTGCAGTTTGGCTGGGCCAGCTTCAAACCTGCCACCTTCAGGATATGGGGCTGGCACTCTCCTCACTGAGCCACACACGCCACCCAACCTGTACACTTTAAATATGTGCAGTATACTGTATATCACCTGTATTTCAATAAGGCTATTAAAGGAAGAAAAAATAGCTGAAATGTATAAAATTAAAATTTTAGTAAAGCTAATTCCAACGTCAAAGTAAACATCAAAATCTGAATTATGTAACCAACTTAAAATTTAATCTGCTTTGGTTAATTTGAGGGAGGTAATACTTAGCAAAAAATTGGTTTATATCGAAACTTTGCTTTCCTCCTCTACTTTTATGGCTATGTGATACTAATTGAGTCATATTTACCCAAACTCCAAGTAACTCTTTTATTCTAAATTAAGCTTATATGGAAGATGAATTTATACACAGTGGCCATAAAGTTCATGTGCAATTTAATATTTACATGGCAAATCTGTACTTATTCTTTTTAGAGGATGCTTTAATAGTACAATGGTAGTTCCTAAAATTCTGAAATTAAAGACAACTTCAATTTATTATTTTTGTGTTGTTCTTAAATCCTTCCTGCTGTGGCTCAGTGCCTGTGGCTCAAGTGGCTAGGGCGCCAGCCACATACACCTGAGGTGGCGGGTTCGAATCCAGCCCGGGCCCGCCAAACAACAATGATGGCTGCAACCAAGAAATATCCAGGTGTTGTCGTGGGTGCCTGTGGTCCCAGCTACTTGGGAGGCGGAGGCAGGAGACTCGCTTGAGCCCAGGAGTTGGAGGTTGCTGTGAGCTATGATGCCACGGCACTCTACCCAGGGGAACAGCTTGAGGCTCTGT